ATACACTCAAATCTAAACTCACAATATTACCTCCTGTTCCATTGTTCCTCTCTCAGTAAATGAGATTACTGATCCAGTTCCAAAAGCAAAAATCCCAGGAATTGTCTGACACACCCCTTGCTCTTGTTCTTCCCATGCAATTGTTTTCTCACATCATGGCCAAAGTGATCTTTTAAAAAAGCAAATCTGCGCATGTCACTCCTTTTTTAAAGTTTTACAATGACTTAAAACAAAGACAACGAAGTCTAACCTCTGACCTTCCCTCTAGACCATCCTTATCTCAGACACTCTTGCCTTTGTCCTCTTTATTCCAGCCACACTGTTCTTTCTCTATTTCTGCTTTCCATTACAGAGCCTTTCTAGATGCCCCACTCCCATCCTCCTGGTCTGAAAAGCTACACTCTCCCATATCCTGGATAACACCAATCCAGTCTTCAGATATTAGCTCAAGCACTATTGACCCTAAAAAGGATTTACTGATACCAAAAAAGCTGACACAATCTAAACAGTATAATATAACATTAACCAATGGGATTAGAGTTAGCAGGAAGAATGTATGTTTCAGACAAAGGCTAGAATAAACTCCAAAAAATTATTTAAATTTTTTTTTAAGTTTCCTTTTTAATTTCCCTTGGTGGAGGTCAAATTTACTGCTCTCTTATTAAGAAATTAACAGTCATTTTAAAAATTGAACTCAACTGAACTCACATTTCAAGTCCCAAATAGCTGGTTTGTTCATTTATTGGATAAATTACCAGTATTTTTCATTCAATAAATATTTATTGAGCACCTATTGTGGGCCGGGCTGTTCTCGGCACTAGAGTGCTTTCACAGCAGTGAAGAAAACACCCCAAATAGCTTGTCTTTATGAAACTTAGTTTCTATTGAGAGTAGGGAGTAAACAGACAATAAGCAAATAAATGAAATACACTACATATCAATTGATGATAAGTGCTATAATGAAAAAAATAAATCAAGGAAGGTGGAAGATAGGTAGGCAATCTAGGGCAAGCGTGAGGCAGAGCTTCAGGGGAAAGGAGGGTTAATGGTTACAATTTTAAATACCATGGTTATTAAGGCTTCACTGGAATGCTGACGCTTGAGATAAGACCTGAAGGAGCTGAAGACCCAAAACCTAGCTGTGCATCCATTTACTTTAATGCTAACTCTTTTTCTGTTGAACATATCATTTGAAATGGATCAACAGCTGAATGGCAAAATGATACTTACAAGTTACTGTCATCTATGGTAATCAAACCAAAAAAGGAAAAAGGCATTCCAATTATTGGTAATCCTCTATCACTGTTGATTTATCTGCCTTTTGAGAAAAATGTTTAAATGTTTATTTTATTCCCTTATGTCACAAATATATTAATTTTTTGATACTCTCCAAACACATATTTCAAATGTAGAAAATTTTATTTAGTTTTAAATGAGCCAAAATTTCATCATGGGCTAAAATTTTAAGACATAAAATGACTGCTGAAACTGAATTTTAATCATATAGATGAATCACAACATGCATTTTAGCTAGGCATGTATTATAGATAAGTCTAGTTTCCTACAGAGAATAATCACATGTTCTAATTACCATTTTGGTTATACGCATAATTAATAATATTCTGTCTTAATGGGACACACTGAATCTTCAGACAGTTGCAAGCTTTCACTATGCATACTGCCAAACGCAACTGTCAGCTGCACTGACAAACACAAAGGAATCTTGATGTAGTGTTTTAGCATTGATAGCAATATGCATATCTTTATACATGATACAATGGGAAATTAATTGCTTTTCTTCCTTCAAAATGTTCTCCACACTAATAATTTTATATTGCTTGATTGATCATTTACCCGAAATTATATGTATTGGCAAGTTATCTTATGAGCAATAAATAGGTGAATGTAAATGCATTTTACATTTAGGTACATTTAAACACAAGATCCAAAGACAAAAATCTTGTGGGACTTACTGATTGTAAACTTTCATTTTCACGTAAACAAGCTGTGTGAAGTTCTGATTTCAAGGTTGCAATGTGACTTCGGTGAGATGTCATTTCCTTCTCTAATGTAGCAATTCTAGTGCTTGCAAGCTGGTAGACATCTATGAAACTTTTAATCATAGCCTAAAGAAAAAGAATAATGTCACATACAATTCAAATAAAGCTGTCCCCAAGGAGAATTTCCATAATTTGAAAGCAGTATCATTAAAATTTTTAAATAAACAACTTTTCATGTTTATTTAAAGTAAGAAAGCTAACCCTCATATTTTATATTGAGAACAGTGACTATTTTTTAAAAGTTTAGGAAAAATTAATTGAGACTTCTTTTCCAGATTATTTATTTAAATAAGATGTCCTTTGATGTATTGTGCTTAAAATTTAGAATGCAGTTTTTAAAGATGGCACACTTATTTTCTTTGTACAGTTAAATTCAAGTTGTAATTTAACCTAAATTTCAACCTTAAGGCACACAACCAATGGATATATAAGCTGAATATTTCAAAATGAGCTGAGTTAGTAAAATTTTCAATCCACATTAAAAACAAATGTTTTTAAACAAAAGGAGCTGAAATAATCCTGTAATTTTTTTAAAAAGATTTTTATTGGAGAATTGGGGGAGGGAAACAGCGTTGAGGAATCGGGAACGGGAACAGACAAGTTGCTGTCCTTTTGTTCTTCAGTCTAGTTGTGGAGGACGTCACTTCTCTGGCCCATGTTGGTATTATCATTGCGCTCTTCCCGGATGATACAGTCGCTTGCCGGCCATTGGATGGCTGCACACGGCCGCTCATGGCAGCTCACGGCACCTCACAAAAGCACATGCCAGCTGCCGGCCAGCCCCACTGCAGCCTACGCCTTCGCCAGCGACTCACGGCAGCCCAGCTCCAGGTTGAGCTGTTGTTCACCATTTTAGCTGTAGAGAGTGCAGCAACACTGGCCTCACGTGGGATCTGAACCGGGGCCCTGCTGCTCAGAGCTGGCATCCCAAGCCAGCTCTTAACCAACAGGCCACTCCGCCGGCCCTCCTGTGATTTATTTTAAGAGTAAATAATGTGATTCCTATATTATAAGAAAAGCATAATTACATTCATTCATATAACAGAGAAATGTTCTTGCATTATACTATATATAATAAAATAAATAACACAAGCAAGTGTGGTAACTTTTTTTCTCCCCTAAATAATATAATATTTTCGGGACTGTTGGACCTCCGTATTACAGATTAATCACATTTTATAGACTTTTTCTTCTAAAGAAAAAGTGAATTTTAATTCCAAGAGTACTATTACACCTTTTTTAAAAAGTCTTTCAAAATACTTCACATATAGCAAAATAAAATCAAACATTTCTTACACATTCAAATATAATGTTATATTATTTACAACAAAAAATGTTCCAGCCACAGTTACAACTTAATACAATGGTAAACAATTCTGAGTATTTCCAAATTATATTTAATTTGAAGAATCTAATTTGGGAAAGCTTTAGAAAGTAGATATTTGAGCAATTCTGAATGCATATGAAGTAATAATTCAGTGAAATAATAATATCAACATACACAATGTCTGAGAAACAGAAGTAGGTTAGTATTGGTAGTTAAGAGTAAGAAAACTCATACCTTTTTGCCAAATAAATTCCTATTTGCCCTCAAAAATCCAGCTCAGACACCACCTCTTTGAAAGCAACCTCTTCTGAGCCCCAAGGCAGTATTAACTTCTACTCTGGTTCTGTGTGGATCCCTTATGCTTGCTTCTACTATTACGTGTATTGCTTTGGAAAAAAATCATTAGTTTACATGTTTAACTTTACTAGACTGAAGAGATCCTTAGGCCAGATACTATGCCTAATCATCTCTGTATCTTCAGGGATGATAGTGGCAGAGAGTGATCACTTGCTTGAATGAATGAATGAATGAATGAATGAATGAATGAAAAATTTTAAGAGATGAAAAACCACAAGCTAAAGCCATATACTATCATAGAATACTTTATAGGAAAAAAATTAAGATCTCTGGTGAAACAAAACCTTAACACTCTCTAATGAATAAAGTATTGACCATATTTTGTTCAAGTTGATAAAAGAAGCAAAAGCACAGCTGTAGGCATAAAAGCATAGAGTACACAAAAGCGAATTCTATCCCCCAACACTAAATAAACATGGTATGACCTCATGTTTGAGGTCATTACTTTGAGTCATTTCAAGGTAAACTTATAGCTAATACTAACACAAAATATTTCCCTAGGTTTCAAACATATATAAAAATCAGAAACTATAAAATTGTATCTGTTTCTTCCTATGCCAAGTCTGTCCCACTCTTACAAATTCATTCATGTTCTCCACTGACATAGTCGATCAGGAATCATAAGTCCTACTTTTTGTTTGTTTGTTTGTTTGTTTGTTTGTTTGTTTGTTTTGTCCTCACTCAGAGAGATCAAGTGATCTCTCTGAGCCTCCATCTCCTCCCTCCTTGAAAAGAGAAGAGGCATTTTCTTGCCTACTTCCAAAACCGTTGTAAGGCTCAGGTCACTAAAAATCTAATGCAAAGCTATTCTCTTAATCCTAATACCAGAAGGGCCTCTAAAAATGGTATCTACTGAATTTCATTGTAGTATTATTGTTCTATTTTTAAACTCCACTAAAATCTTAATTAGACAATCTGTGATGGGTGGTTCGTACAAATATGTTCTGATTATATAAGGACTTAAAATGTATAAAAAGCATGAAAATATGCATTAATACTTATTGAATTAAAAAAAGAAACTACCCTTCTATCAGGAATAGGCTCCTGGATTATTATTATACTGTAAATTACAATAGAATTGGCCTCTAATTTTAAGGATAAAAAAGTTCAACACATGGGCTGGCCAAGTGGCGAGTTGGTAAAGAGCTGGCTTGGGATGCCAGCTCTGAGCAGCAGGGCCCTGGTTCGGATCCCAAATGGAGGCCAGTGACACTGCCCTCTACAGCTAAGATGGTGAACAACAGCTTGACCTGGAGCTGGGCTGCCATGAGTCGCCCGCGACGGGGTAGGCTGCAGTGAAGCTGCAGTGGGCTGCCATAAGCTACCGTGAGTGGCTGGCAGCCAGTGTGAGCTGCCAAGAGCCGCTGTGAGTGACTGTCCAGAGGCCGGCAACGGATCTGCCTCATCCAGGAAGAGCGCAATGATAATACCAACTTGGGCCGGTGAAGCGACGTCCTCCACAACTAGACTGAAGAACAAAACGACAGCAACTTGTCTATTCCCTTTCCCCGATTCCCCAGCATTGTTCCCCTCCCCCAATCTCCAATAAAATCTTTAAAAAAACAAACAAACAAACAAAAAACAAATGCCTGTTCATAGGCATTTAAAAACAAGTGTGATAAAGGATGCCAGTGAAAACCAACTCTTTTAATATAAAAGAAAGATGCCAAGTTGGTAGAATCAACTGAGGGGGCGGGAGGAGGATGGACTGAGCATCTAAAGACCTCTACATCAATCTCCTGAAGTCTAGCTAACCCTTCACAACACAGCTCTCGCTCGTATGAAAACATCACATCTTTTTACACTAGAAAACAATGACAGAACAGCACGATATTGTGTACAGCACACCCAGCATTTGAAAACTTATCCCCATGTCATCTTTGTCTCTAGGGATTTGGACTATAACACATAGTGAGATATGTATCTCAGTGGGGCTTACCTCGTTACAAGAGAAACAGAACAAAAGACAGTTTCTGGACAAGAACTGCCTTTTGTTTTGGAGATAATCTATAGTGTTTATAAAATATAACAAGATGAGAGAATCCAAACATAAAATTCCACATCCTATGTATTTTAAGAAAAAGTGTAAGTATTTTAGAATATTTTTTAAAATCTGAGATACAAATAGGTATGTGTCACCTGAGGACCAGAATATTATTTATATTATTTATTATGGACATATTATTATGTAGTTTAGACTGACTTCAAAATGGACTTCAGGGAAAACAGGATCGTTGCGGACATGATGTTAGGAAAAGGAGAAATCAGTAGAAAACATCAAAAGGCCTAGATGCCAAAATAGCAAATCTTTTATTTACATCTTTGTATGTACAACTAAAAAGCAAAAACCTCTGACACGTCACTTTAAATTATATAATTATAGACATACTTCGTTTCTATATACTACATAAAGTAAGCATGTAAAATAGATATACCACATATGTGAAATATAACAAATCCTCATAAAATGGGGATAATGATTCCTACCTTAAAGCCATTGTGGGAGCCAATGGGTATTAATACATGAAAAGACCTTAACTATATGGCGCACAATAAACACTCAGGGAAATGTTAGCTATAATAATGATAATGACATCAAATTAGAAAAATTACTGTATTAATTCATAAAAGAAAGATTCAAGGTATCTTCGGGGTATAATTAGACATAAATATTTTAAATGTAAGATTCCGTATACATACCAAATATATTTAAATCCTTTCAACATAAAAGAAATTTAGAGGCTAATTAATATTTACTTCCTAACAGTTAAAACTTCCCATTGATAATAAAAACATTATTATTTGTAATATTGTTCTTAAGGAAGTCTTACAAAGTCTTCCATTAATTCATTGACACCTAGAATTAAAGGAAAATTATTTTCTTCATTATCAAAAAGTTACTCTAGTAAGGTTGCTCATTTAGTAGATTTCCTTTCATTCCAATATTTTTTAAATGTAGGGATATGACAGAGAATGAGAGTTAAAGAGCCTCTTACTAATAGTCTACAAATAGCAACTGTTTCCAGTCAAGATCTGGAATTGGATTCTTCAGCTTGGATGTATGGTTTCTGGTCCTGCCTACAAATGTTTGTTTCACCATGATAGTCCAATATAAAGTTATGTAGGACAGGCTGTACGGAGACAGCAAACTGCTATTCACCTGTTTGCATTGCTACATTGAGTATGTGTAAATGTACATTTGTGTGTTTGTGCGCACGCGCGTGTGTGTGCATGCATAAAAGCTGATTAGAACACTATAAGCTGACAAGAATTCTGAGGAATCAATAAGGAGTAGAACGCAGAAGGGATCAGAAACAAAATTTTAGAGAAACCCTTTCCAAAACACAAACAAGAGAACACTTCTACAAAGGTGGGACCTAAG